AGATATCATATTTCACAATCAACACCTACAGAGTGTATAAAAGAAAAACAAGCAAATTGTAAAAAAAGAAGAAAGTACAAAAAGCTTAAGATTGATTAAAACATAGAAACTTAATAAAACATAAAAATCAAGCAGTACACAAATGAATCAGCAATGTGTCAATTTCTTGCGCTGACATGCCACATTGCATTGATTCTTCACGACATTCCAGTAGTTCCTTAATCATTGTCGGTCTCCAGTCACGGCTTACGACTCTCTGCTTTAACATTGTTTTGATTCTACTAGCATTATGACTAAAAAGCACATGAATGTTCAGATCGACTTTTTCTAATATATTATAGATATTCCTACACATGTATGATTGCAGTGACATTAGACAATTTCGATAAAAGAAAGATATATAATTACTTTCATGGTTGATGCCATTCATGAAAAAAACAAGCATTCTATGGTAGACTTGATCTTCAGCGCTCTTAGAATTGATAAGGGATGGTAAAAGAACATTGTGAGTCCTTGTAGGAAGATCAAGTAAATACCTGACACCAATTCTCCAGGATTTACACAGTGACTTAAATTGCTCAGACGAGAGATTTATTAGCTGGCATCCATAAAGACTAGAACATTGAACATTGAAAAGCATACATTTGGTTGCATAGCTAAGATGAACAAATTCACGTTTTATTCAATTGCTTCTCACCTTCAGATCTTTCGAAATATTGTCACATTTTATATAATCACCCTTGAGGATAACCAATGTCCGAGATGTTTTTCAGTTTCCTCCATTGACAGAGGTGCGTTTTCAATATAGAGAGGCGATAGTTCTAGATTGTCACCGAATAGAATTGTTTCGCATTTCAAAGGATTAAAAATTAGACCAAATTCATCCGCATAAACAGCACACTTATCCGAAAGTTTCTGCATAGCATATTTAGTAGGACTCAATAGAATAATATCATCGGCATACACAAACACAGAAGCACATTTATCTCCCATATAGCAACCAAAATTGGATATAATTAAATCCTCAATAAGAGGGTCAGTGTACATGTAGTCTATGAGATCCATGTATAAAACAGTCAGATATGAGAGATGTTTTATCATGAAACTGACCTAATTTTAATTTCTCAATAGTATCTGCAACTTGACGAGTAGTGATGCTGTGTAAGTGCTGCTTTCGAGTGTCATTCGTCCTATTACACTGGCACGTGATTTGTTCATTATCTCTCAATACTAATCCCCCTAACTCAACATCTCTGGGTACCGTGTTATACAGTTTCTCATATTTATCTTTAAAAATATTACATGCATCGATGCCACATTTACCATCTATCACTTTGTTGGCTGTCTTAGTACTCGGTTTTAATTTATTATTATTCTTCCAAAACTGATTATGATTGGAGTTACTTAATGACTGTGCCACCTTTTCCCTGATTATTTTGTCTTTGTTTGCTTTTATTGCCTTAATCACCTTATGATAATCGGCACGCGTTCGTCTTCTCTTGCACGCAACCCAACCTACAGAGGGACGCCCCTGCTCTACCCATCTCATGTGCCAGCACATGGCTGTCCGCCTCTGTTTACGCACATGATCGTTCCATCCCGGCAAGCCTCTACCACCCGTAGAAGCTCGAGGTCTGCAGTGAGGGATGAACTCCCTCATGGCAAACAGGCACGCGCTAGTAATACTAACAAAAAAAATCATAGTCATCTTTGTGTTCTTTACAATGTAATAGATTATTACAATTTGCAGCATTTACAGGCAAATCAATAGTAGCTAGACACTGATCGAGTACAAGGGAGTAAACTTCTTTTTGGGCTGTCGTAGCCTTATGCCACAATGGCTTGATTCTACTTAGGGGAATATCAGGCGTAGTCAAAACTTCATTTTGAATATCAAGGGATACCATGGTGGGAGAGTGGTCTGATAAGTTATCACCTGACTCATAAACATCCCAATCACAAAAATTCCTCTAGAGTCTCTCAGATAAGACTATATATTCAAGAAGGGACGACCGACCATCATGTGCCGGACAAGACAGCTCTCTGTTCCGCACCCACGCACTCAACACCTCACTTCGTTCATCACCACGTGCAAAGTCACAGTTAAAATCGCCGCCAATAATCAGATCGTAATCAGAGTATTGTAGGCATAGGGAATCAATCTCATCAAGTACATTATTGAACTCATCTCTAAATTCATTGGTATTCACCGGCATATACACTGACATAATGAGTATGTTACAAGATTGGTGTTCGTATTTGACTACGCATATCCTCGGAGATGAGGTCATTATAGGCATAATGGAAGCATTGACATTCTGTTTCCATAGAATACCAGTGCCTCCATAGCCCCTCCCCCTGCGCAGTTCATCACTCTTCATACTTGATAATGCAGGGTAAGAACAATTAGTTAATATCTCATTAAGAATATTAAACTCAAATTCATATAACCAGTGTTCTTGAATTGGTAATATTGAACACATATCGAATAACTTTGCTATGAATTTGTAATTTCTATACTTAAAACCTTGACAATTGAAACTGGCAACTGTCAAATTATTTTCCTTCATTGTATTCATTCTGGTATATGAAGTGATTTAGTTATTCCCAATTAATTCTACTATCCTGACTAGAACTTCGGGTCAGATCATCGTTTGTGACCCCATTTACTAATATGTTTACACTTTCCCTTCGGGTCAAATTGCCCTTCCTTTGTTTATCACGCCAGAGCTCACATCTTACACCGGAAGGCCATAGGCTGTCCTTCATCACTTTATCAATATCAGTTTTGTATATGCTCACCTTAAATGAAACAAATTTTGATTCTGCATGTGAAACCTTTTCAATATCAGCCACAACAATAGCGTTATTATGTAAGTGGGATTTCAGCGACTGCACATCACCTTCCTTTACACGAGACACCCATACATGACGGAGAGGGGGCGGGGCACCTTGTAGCCCCTGCATCACCGCACTGCCGCTTCCGAAGATACGTCTCTTCTTGCGCGATTTCACTACTCGCGATTTCACTACTGCGCGATCCGCTACTCGTTGTATTATTCGTAGAAGGTTCAACTCCTACGGCTGACGTTCGGGCAAACGGTTTAGGTTGCACGCTGCTACCTCTGGTAACTTGTCCAGTGCATCAAGCCTCTTCAGTGCATCGAAAATATCATCCGCGTGTGCAACAGACATATGCCGTTTATCAGACGACTTCCGATCCGGGAAATTCCCAAGCGTGGAAGGGGCAATGCTCCATAATGCCTTTTTAGCTTCAATGATTTCATCATTATTATAAAAGTTATGAATCACTTTCTTCTCATTATCAATAGTACTGCAATTTATGTAATGTTTAGCATAAGTTAGTAATTCGTTGACAATGATGGTGCATTTTTGGTGAAACTATTCTACCGAGAACAACCGTTTCGGCCATTAACCTGGGAGCTTAGTGGAGCTTAGTGGTGGTTCACGCATTATATATGCATTAAATAGCTTTCATGGTTGCCTCTGGCCAATAGAAATTGAGCTTAAACGATGGTCGTCCGTTTTGCACCCCCACAAGAATGGGCAAAGCTACTAGAAGCTACCAAGATGATATTTCCCTGTTTGTCATAAACATTTCCTCACAGTTAATAATGATACTGCAGAATTATAACAAACTTGAGATGATTTGGCATCAGCAGGTCAGCCCTCTTTTGAGGTAGTTCAGCTGTGTATCATTGAGTGATGAACCACTATTGAGTCTAACAAGTCATTTAGAGGAAACGGATATAACGAGCCATAAAAACTGTAAAAAGAGATCATGAGTGGTATTGTTTGTTACTAGTTATGTGACAGTTGCTTCCAATTTGTTTTCCCCTGAAAGATAGTGGCCAATAAACCCTACAACTGTAGTAATTTATATTTAGATTAATTTAGTAAGATCTTTTTATGTACACTGTTATTTTGTCATTCCTGTGTATCTTTAAGTCAAGATCAGTGACCTTGATATTACCTAGTGTTGCTTCACAGTGACCTTGGATAGTAGCTCTACCCATTACCCAGTCCATGCAAGTGTTGAAAAGTGATGGTGCAAGAATACAACCTTGCCTCACTCCTGAATTAACAGGAAAGAAGCTTAACAGGCTTGCTCCATACTTTACAGCACGTTCAGTATCTGTAGACAGGCTTGTTATTAATCCAATAGGCCTTGTTGGAATTCTCCTACGTCCCAGGATCTCCCAAAGTGAGTCAGTCACCAACGTGAGATTGATGTAGGCTGCAAGCAGTCCACAACCAAACTCACAACAGCATTCCACAGTGATTCATAGCACCAGGAGTCAATAGTCTATTGTGGAGTTGCCAGGAGTAAATCCAGCTTGCTCTGGTCTCTAGTGCTTCGTTAGATGGTCTTGATCTGTCTCAAAAGGATGTGGGCGAGAACCTTGACTGGTATGCTGAGAATTGGTAGTTGCTGCAGTCCTACTGATCCCCTTTCTCCTTTCAGAGAGGGATGACCACACCCCTCAGCAGGTCAGGCGGAATGTTACTGGATTGCCAGATGGCAGCCAGGACAGCATGCAAGCCCAGTGCCAAAGGTTCACTACTAGCACTTAGTAGTTCAGTAGGGATACTGCATATGCCCACTGCTTTGCTTCCCTTCAGCCACAGTAGGAGGTTCTTTGCTGATGAGTGGATCCAGCACAGGGATTGTGACACCGGTTGCATTCAAACTAATTGCTGGAGAGTCAGTGTGATAGAGCTGCTCAAAGGTCCCCATCATCTCCAGGGATGAAGTTCTGCCTTGATCTTGGGCATTTGCCAATGGATACCTGAGCTGTTTCAAGTGTTTTAAGCTTGAACGAATCCCACAGACCTGTAGAGTCCATCAGGTTTTCTAGTACTGCAAATTGATCAGCAGTAGCTGCAGTGAACCTCGGTCTGTCCAGATGAAACATTCTAAGGTGAACACTGGAGGTACTAGAGATTTTGAAGTGGACCCAAAGAGTTGCCACAACTCTATAGTTGATACCACAGAACTCAGCACTCCGGTAAACCATGCATGATACCCACATCACCACACCATGCCCAGCAATGCAGGTTGGAGCACTGATGCCATGAGCCAGAAATACTCAATCTCTGGGACCTAGCAAAGTCCAGAAAAAGGAAGTTATTCTAACTTCTGGAATTACTTTAAAGTGATTCTTTTTACTCAGGATAAACTCTAAAAATTACTAAAAATATTTTTTTTATTTGAAGTAAATAGTTACACATTTCTGATGACACCTCCTGTATGTTTAGAGAATAATAAACTCCTATTATTTCCATAATTAAAGGACTTTTCTGTATTCAGGTAGTGTAACAGAACGCTAAAAATGGGCTTCTTTTTCTTTTTCATAGATATCAAAATTAATCAGTCATCAGAAATCATAAGGATAAATCAAAATATATTTAGCAACATATCTTGTATTAATAAAAAATAATACAGAACATTCACCATGCACATAAGAAATGAAAATGAAATATCCCCAAGCTTTTCTTAACCCATTCGCCCCACGTGGCAAGAATAGATACCATGCCCACTTTGATACACA